AAGATTTCGGGGGTACAGTCAAAAATGTGGGGCAAAATGGCGGTCCTATAGATCCACATTGGCTTGCCTCCCAAAAAAAACCAAGAGAAACTCCTTGATCTTGTTTAGTTGGAGCAGTTGAAGGAAGGCATCAAGCTTGGGAGAAGTTGACCGGTTGAGGTGGGTTGAGACGCAATTATCACCCCCTCCCCCCGCCCTTCCCCCGTCCCCCCCAAGGCTCTGGTAGTGGAAATATCAACCAACACAGTTGGTAGGGGGGGCGCCTCCTACTACTACTACGACGACGACGACGACTACTACTACTACTACTACTACTACTACTAAAACCGACCCCCCTGATGCTGCAAAAATGCGTCTTTCGTCACAGCGGCAACGTCATTTTGCTCGTATCTCAAATGGACCTATTCTGGGTGCCTCCTTTGCAGCCGCTTGGGTTTTTGAAGCAAAATTGTGCGCTCGTTGCAGGCTTCAGCGTTGTGGATGGTTTGGATTTTAGCTTCGGGAACATGTTTTTGGCAAGCCGAGAAGTGCAGACCATGGCAGTATTTTAGGTACCTTTTACTGCTGGTACCGTGAGCGAAATGGCATTTGCAGGTGGAAATTCACGTGATTTGGATTGGGAAGTGCAGAAGCAGCAGTCCAAATAGCATGCATTTCCAAGAAACGGTACCAAGTAGTTTTGGTAACAAGTAGTTTTCTGTTGCAACACAAGTTGTGCGGCAGTAGCATCTTTTCAGGATTTGGGCATGGATGCTCGGGTCACCGTATGCTCTCGTAACACGAAAGTTATTGAATTTTGGGCATGGAGGCTCTGGTCACCATATGCTTTTGGAACACGAGCTGGATTATGGTTGAGGCATGGATGCGCTGGTCACCGTATGCTTTTGGAACACGAACGTTACTATGGTTTGGGCATGGATGCTCTGGTCACCAAATGCTCTCGGAACACGAAAGTTATTATGGCTTGGGCATAGGCGCTCTCCTCACCGTGTGCTCTCGGAACTCGAACGCTATTATGGTTTGGGCATGGGTGATCTGGTCACCGTATGCTCTTGGAACACGAACGTGATGATGGTTTGGGCATGGATGCGCTGGTCACTGTATGCTTTTGGAACAGGAACGTCATTATGGCATGCCCATGGGTGCTGCAGCAAGGGTGGGCAATGCGGAAGCCCGTCAGCGTCCAGAAAGACAAGACAGCAGAATCCCGAAGTGCGACAGCACAAATAGAACGAATGCATGCGTAAGCAGAAACCCCCCGAATGGGGGGGTGCCCGGAGCGCGACAGCACAAATAGAACGCATGAATGCGCAAGCAGCAGAAAACCTTCTAAATGGGGGTATGGTTAATAAGGCGTTGGCTATTACTATTACTACTACTACTACTACTGCTACTACTATTACTACTACTGCTACTGCTATTATTACCACTACTATTTAATACTATTACTACTACTACTGCTGCTGCTGCTGCTACTGCTACTACTACTACTACTACTACTATTACTACTAGCTACTACTACTCCTGCTGCTGCTGCTACTACTACTACTACTACTATTACTACTACTGCTATTGCTCCTTGGCCGCGTAACGCGACACGCGCGGGATTCATATTCTGAAAGTGCAGGCAGGCGTGGGGAATTTGAGAACTGGTAAAATCTCGTCATCCCGCTTTTGGACGGTGTGGCCCTCTCCAAACGCGAGCGGTCACAAGATTTCGTCGAAAGATTTGTTCGGTTCATACGGAGGCGTAGTATGATGTTTCAGGAGTCCATGCCTTTTGTTTTGCAGCAACAAGTGCTCTGGGGGTTTAGTAACGGATGTGAGTTGGGACAAGGAGGGCTTGCGTGGTTGAACATGGACAGTTTGAGCAGACAACTGCAGAGCATTCCATTATCACCGTCATCATGATGATGCTGTATTCTTCTTATCGTAATTTGATGCTATGATTTTTCTGTCACCCTGTTTACCACATTGTTATTATGATTCAAATTATTCCCGTCATTAGGACTGTACCCTCGTCCCATCATCATTATGGTTGCCTGTGCCATGCTATTTCTGCTTTTTGGGCTTGTCCTACCAATCCATCTGCTTCTTGCGGGCGGTTTTCCCTGCCGGGTACCGCCTAGAACAACAACAACGACGACGACCACGGATGGCGACGGCGACGACGACGGCGACCGCGACTGCGACAATGCGTGACCGCGACCGCGACCATGACCACGACGACGACGACATCTTTATCAGTATCATAGTTTCTTCCAAACATCTCCAAGCGTTTGAAGAAGGGTCCTATGGTTTTGCTTCGCTAAAGCTACTGAGGTTGAATCCCCCGTACCGTTGTTCAACGTGTGCCTCATCTCCAAGGTAAAGCCATGCTCCATCATACTTGGGTTTCGTTTGATCATTCCCCATCAATGCCGCTGCTGCCATTTTTTCTTTCCATGGCTCTCACTGCCATTGTTGCTACTCATCCTGTTTCTCTGTTCCTATTTACCCTCACCATCATACGAGTTAGAATGATCCTTTTGGCTGAGAGGAACCCCAAAAGTTGTCATTCGCAGTATGTGCAATCCTTCACGGGCTCCAACAGTTGGGTTCATGCGTCCATATTAACCCCACGGTATATCAACAAAACCTCCAATGACCTCAGCCGTTGTCTGAACATCGCATGGTGAGATAAGGCCTGCAGACGTCGTGCTCTTGGAGGCCATTGATCTCAAAGTCAACGAGTCCATCCTGACAGGGGAGCCTTTAGATGTGACCAAAACAACTACAGTCGATGATGCTGGGACCACAGCGCTGCGGTCAAACATGCTCTATTGTGCGACCTCTGTGACATCGGGACGTGCGAAGGCTGAAGTTGTCCATACTGGCATGCATACGCAAGTTGGGCTGATTGCCAAGCGACTCGGAGAAAGCAAAAGTTGGACGGAGAAGGGCCCACTGCTAGTCTCCGTCAACGCTCTGGGACGCAGACTGAGCGTGGCAGTTGTTGGCCTAATTGCTTGCGCCACCATTCTCGCCATTGCAACCAGGTACCAAGATCCAGCAACCCCATGTCCTACGCATGACTCATACTGCCTTGTAAGGACAGGGCTCATGCGTGCAATTGTGATGTCTGTTGCTGTGGTGCCGCATGGCTTGCCGATGGTATTGTCCATAATGCTGCGAGTAAGCTCTTTTCGAATGACAGCTCAAGGGGGTCTTGTCATGAAAGTCTCGGCAGTTGATTACATATCAGCGACAACGGTCATCTGCACAGACAAGACCGGCACTCTCACTGAAGGACGCATGACGGCAATGAGCCTAACAAGCCTATGCCGTGATGGTGCTGAAAGTGCCGCAGGTGGCACGACCAAAGAAAGTGCATTGGTGTTCTATCCTCTCCGAGGGTTCTCGCCCAATGGAGGATTGTTCGCTGCTTCTGATCTCACAGATGAGCATAGGGAGCGGATTGACTCCATTCATGACGAACACTTGGAGCGTCAGGCTTTTGACGCTGAGGGCCTGCTCGATTTGGCTAATCGTGCACGGCAGGAGAGTTGTTCTGGAAATCTAGATCAACTCATGGCCCGTGCGCATTTGGCATGCGCCTTCCTGAGCTGTCATCAAACGTCTCTTGTGCAGCATCCAGAGACGGGCCAGTGGGAAATCAGTGGCAACATGACGGAAGCTGCCTTAAAGGTGGCAGCTGCCAAGGGTGGCTTCAAGGCGGATTCGTTGAAAGCACATCGCCGGCTGCCGGAGCTGGAGATTCCTTTCGCGTCTGCACGAAAAGTCGCAGCCGATGTGTTTGAGCTGCCTTCGGAGGGAGACCGAAGGCTCGAAAGCCTCAAGTTCCCGGCAGATTCTACTCATGTTGCCATCATCAACGGTGCGCCCGAGAAGCTGATTGACGCCGCGGGAACCATTGCCAAGCTTGTGACAGAAAACTTGGAGGTGCCAGGGGAGCCCTTGACGTCAAGTGATAGAGATGCCTTGCAAGCAGCGAACGCCAGGCTCAGTAGCAATGCCCTACGCAGTTTACTTGTTGTGGTGCGACCCCTGGCACATTCAGAGATGGAAGCACTTTCAAACGCAGCATCGGCTGATGAACGCCTAAACATCCTTCTGAAGCCATCCTTGCAGGTCTGCCCGCTCAGCCTTTGGGGCATATACGACCCTCCTCGGGCGTCTGTTCCCCGAAGCATCCAGGGCTGTCATGAGGCAGGAATCCGTGTCATTATGATAACAGGCGACCAGCAGGGGACAGCAGCTGCGATTGCACGACAAATTGGTTTGTTGCAGAAGGATGAGGATGCAAACGCAGCAACAGCAACATGCTCTGATCTTCATGAAGCAAATGCCCCACGTGCTCCAGACAGACGCCGGCTATCACGTCAGGCGCAAGAACAGGTGGAGGCATCCTTCCCTACCAGCATCGCTAGCAGTGGAAAAAGCAACGTTCCACGGCGTGGCTCAAGAAGACTTTCAGTGCATGATGAGCGGAGCCCGACGGATGTTGAGCCTGAGTTTAAGTCGGAGGAGGAATTGATTGACATCACTTCTCGCGTGAAATGCTTTGCGAGGGCTCAGCCTTCAGACAAAGTGGCTATAGTTGCTGCGCTTCGTGCTGCCGGACACATTGTGGCAATGACTGGTGACGGTGTGAATGATGCACCGGCATTAAAAGCTGCTGATGTTGGAATTGCCATGGGCATTTGTGGCACGTCAGTCGCAAAAAATTGCAGCGATCTGATCCTGATGGACGACAATTTCTCAACCATACAGCTTGCCATCCAGGAAGGCCGACGCATTTTCAGCAATACGCAAAAGTATGTCATGGTGAATTTGAGTATGAAGTTTGCCGAAGCTACTAGTTTGCTGCTCTCACTGGCGTTGGGGGTCCCTCCGGTCATAAAGCCAACGCCACAGCTGCTGAACATGATAATCACCCATGGTGCAAGTACGCTATGCCTTGCATTCGAGCCCGCAGAGGCATACACCATGAAGGTTCCTCCGAGAGAGGTGCATGGAATGATCCTCACCCCCCGTCAGATCAGGTGGCGGATGATCCCTTTTGTCTGTTGCTTTCCGTGTGTTGCCTACACTTCATTCTTGCTTGGCACATTTGGAGCTACTGGGTTCATACGCAATCGCGACTTAATGGGAACTGCAGCCGTGGATGATTTGAAAAACGGTCATACCGCATGCGAACGTGCAGGGTGGGAAGATGAGAGTGGCCACCACCATGAGGACACGCGCCCCTTCCATTGCCTTTGCACTACCAGTTCAGGCACGTGGCCTTTGCCGCAGACGCACATTCTGGACCACTGGGGAACTTCGCGAGACGTACCCTTTATCATTGATGGCTCACAAAATGCTTTCGATCTCTCGCTGGACAACCATGACTGGGAGGGAAATGCTTCAAGATTGCTCAGACCTTGTGAGAGAAATCCTCATCTATGGTGCTGGCAGCATGACGTCCCGCTGTCTCAGCGGCCCATGCTTCCTGCAGGGGCAAGCTGCGTGGATCACGGGCTAAAGGTTGGGCAGACCATGGCTTTTGTGACTATCATGTTCGGCGAGATTCTGAGCATCATGTGCTTCAGAACTGAGGGATACTTCTTCAAATCATTTCTGGAGAATCCTTGGTACAACCTGACGCTGGTGTGTAATCTGCTTGCGATGAGCCTGGTCATATACGTGCCGCTGTTTGCCAGTGCTTTACAGTTTGTGCCCTTGACAGCAAGCAGGCTCTTTTTTGCCATGGCTTGCTCTCTTGTCTTGTTCATCTGCACTGAGATGGCAAAGACCGTTTATCGATCAGCCCAGAAGTCAGCCAATCTGCTGTTGCAGAAGCGGGCCCTCTTACTTTCTGGTGCTAGGCGGCCCACGTTGACAGAAGATGCATAGATGGAACGCGCATGTGATGTCTTGCAAGGGCAAAATTGGTCGTCTTGCTTCGGAATCAGTAGTTAAATTGTGCATTCTCAGCTTAGATGCCTCAAAACAAGCCTGGGTTGGTGGCTGGCTAGGCTCGCTAGGAGGACATCTTGGCATGCAGGAAGCAAGAAAACTCGATGTGCCACCAGCTTGGGACAGCATGAGGCTGCTCACGAACTCTCATAACCTGACTTGAGTGCTTGGCTTGTTCCAATATTAGACGCCATGGAGAACGCTGTTGAAGGCCTTTGGCAAGGTCTTGCAGCGTTCCAGAGGCCCAAATCCTCGCCTTGCATGGTTCCACTTCAATATAGTCCCATGCCATGCCGAACAGGTTGGACGTGGAAGAGAAGACAATGGTCTTGGGAGCTGCTGTTTGTGTTACAATGCTGCTTGCCTTACTTGCGGTAGAACCAGTGGTGTTTGATTTGACCAGAGGGCTTGGATTGTCACGAGGAGCGTGTGCAACCCGCACGCGGTATCTCACACAGTCGCACAAGTGATAAGACTAGAAGTTTTTTGTATGCTGACCAAAGCGAGACAGGATCTTTTTTCTGCTAGATCCTGCAAGACATCCCCACAGCATGCCTGAGGGCCGTTGGTCCTTGTTGACATTCGTGCATCTCCGTGCCCCAGGTGTGAGAGGGCTTAGGGCGAATCGAGGAAAGGTAGGCGCAACAATTGCAAAAAAAGACATTCTGAAGGTGAAGAGTTCTGAGCTTTGAGCCGCTTTTTCCTGATGCTGCTGTTGCTTCCACTTCACGGTTTCACCGGCTTGGCTGCTACTTGCAAAAAGTCGAACCCGAAGTCTAGGAAAGAAGGCTTAGAGAAGCTTTGGAGGTTGAGGTGCATCTGCCAGGCATACTCCAGGATGTAATGCTGCAAGGCTTCAGCCATTCCCTCGGAATTTTTTGGGAGCGTGTTGTTTTTTGCCACCATTTTAAGAACTGTTCGCGGCCCATTTTTGCACGGTGGGGGGTGGGGGTCGGTGGGTCGCCAATTCACATGTTGAAGCATCTTCGGACATGTCTGGAAACCCTATAAAATATTTGTGGGTGCCCCCGAATTTCAGGAGACTATACAGGCGTTTGCGCATCAAGAGTTGCTTGCGTGACATGTTTTCCTGAAAGGTCCCTACTCTGCCCCATTACCCGTGTAAACTCCTAGTCCTAATCTGCCCCGTCCTCGTGGAACGCAGCAAAAATCAAATGACTGGTGGGTCATGTGGAAGCCCGGCTATCTGGCAGCTGGGGTGACGGCCGGGCCTTTGGAAGTTTGATAAAATGTGGAAAACTGCCACAATCACCTTATTCAAACGTTGAATTGCATGATAGAGATACTGCGGGCGTCCCAGACAAAAATATTTCGATAGTGATGGTACTAATTGGGGGAGGCCGGTGAGCTCTGGGCAAACGTTCCAAATTTTGAGCTTCTGTTTTGAGTTCAGCAAGGCTTTCCGAAACCTTTGCAGTTCGGTGCAGGAAACTGGGATTCTGCGTGCGGTTTGCTGTGATGTGGCGGTTAAGCCGAGGGGGTGTTGTTGTGCGAGATGCTGCCATGGCCCAACTGAGGCTGGTCATCCAGCACGTTCTCCCACCCCACGCCGTCCCAGATGGCCAAACCACCCAAACCAATTCCTGCAAGGGTATCTTGGTCAACAACAACAAACATTTCAGCCAGCCCCTTCTGCTACAAGCCGCGTAATGAGACCTCAAGACCCGAAAATGGACCTCCTGCAGGCCTTCCGAACGGGTCAGAGACCCTCCAGAGAAGTTTTTGGAGGCTCTTGGCCTTGAGGCTCTCGGAGCTTCGGAAGGTTTTGGTAGGTCTGTTGGGAGAAGGCCTCCGGGAACCAGAGGCCTTGAAGGCTACCAGAAGGTTTCTGCAAGCCAAGAAAGCAATCCGTCAGGGCTTTGACGGGCCTGGGAGGTTCTCGAAGGTCTTTAGGAGGAGTTTTAGAAATACTTGAGAGGCTCTTAAGAGGCCTTAAAGGTGAAAGGTTTCCCTACCGAAAAGTTCCGAAGAGTCGGTTAGGAATTGAGAAGCCTGGAAAGCTCGTGAAAGTCGTGAACACCGACAATTGCAAGCTTCGCAAAAACATGTGTGTGATACAGCGTCTGAGATGTTTTGCTCAGTGGGGCGGCTGGAAGGTAACAATCGCAAGGGGTTGCCACTAAAGCTGATTGCCAGACGAACTTGGACCCATAACCCTTCCAAAGTCTTACGTACTCCAAACTGACACCCGAAAGTTGAAGGTCGAGCTTTTTGACGGTTTGCCTGTAAAGTTGAAAGCTGAACGTTTTTGGTGGCGCAAGACTTTTTGAGCTCTTGCCCGAAAAGTCGAAATGATGAACTTTCTGCAAAAGCAGCCCAAAGACTCGAAAAGTCTTATAAAGTAAAGTTTTCTGAGCCTTTGACTTTGACTGTTGAATAACGTTTTGACATTCTCCGGCTGCTTGCCAAAAAACGTCTTTGAGAAGCAGGCCTCGCCATGACTTAGGCTTGAAGGATTCTGGGTTTGACTCAACACCCGGTTTCGCTGGGGGCACATTGAGTGTCTGGCTATACACTGGCCTTCCAGGACCCAGGGCAACCACACTGCCCCAACCTCTTTCCTGTACTTGCAGGGGCTTCCGGAGGCTCGTGTTGCGCTTATTTTGCGCTCGTGCACTGCGGCGTAGGTGCCAACAATTTCGGCAACGCCAGTTATATCAGGTATTGCACGTTTGGCAAAATAAAGGCCGCCATCTCGGATTTTCTGCTCGCATAATTTGTTCTCGATATGTCCAGAAGTGTATCGAAACAATGCTGGCACAAAACATGTGCTGCGTTGGAGGTTGCAGGAAGACTATCGACTATAACCGTGCATTGAGGCAAGCCGATATGATCCGCTAAGACAAGTTATATTCGAAACTGGCACTAACGCCCCAAATTTTTTTCACTGTCGACGAGTCGGAAGACCAAGGGCAGACTGGGTAATCGAGACTTTAACAGATGCTCTATATGCTCTTGAAGAAGCCGTTCCACAGATACTCGATAATGAAGCCATTCGCAAAGTATATGAGGCAGCAGTAAACCGAAGAGAACCTTTCTGAATACCACAAATAGTCACCGACAATCCTCCAGAAGACAATTCACAATGGCAGCAAGCCAACAGCCCTTGGGCTTACCACGTAAATACACATTAATACCTCAGTTCCCCCTGCCTTTTTTTTGTGTGATTTATCTACGTTTCACGGGTGCTGCACACCTTGATTGGCGCTCTGTGAGTGTGAGTGAGTACTCTTAATCTTCAAGCCATCCTAGACCGTCCCAAACCAGCTAGACTTTATTGTGCTCGGACTACATAAAGCTCTGCGGCGTAATGGTTCTTAACTCCCGACTTAAGCTTGAGGTTGCGGGTTACTGGAGTTCTGCTGCAAACTACTCATAACTGGACCTCGCAACCTATGTTCTTGTCGTGCTGCGGGGTGCCCTAATTGGAGGCCTGGGACTGCACAAAGGATTTTACAGCAATGACCAAAGAGGTTTTTGGCCGGGGAAGGTACTGGGTCTCCTGCTACTTGGCAGCATCTACGAGGAGCCAGCGCAGCCCTTTACGCAACCCATCTTCCTGTCCTCGTGGGTGCTTCAGTAGGCTTCATCATACAGATCGCCGGGTAGGGTATCATTTTTCCCTATTTTTTTTGTTTTTCATTTCCCTATTTTTTTGGTTTTTAG